GAGCGTGGTGTCCTCAGATTGTTCATCCTTTTTTGTGTCGTCCGTCGGATATCCGGCGCGCCGCTGCAGCAGCCGCGCGCAAAGTTGAATATTCGTCACGGTATGCCGGCCGGCCGGCTCGTACGGTCCAGACTCGGACGAGTCCAAGGCAATCGGACGGCCGATACACATGCACATGCAAACATCGGGATTCGGCTCGCCAAGCTGGAGTGATCAACTCAAATTTTAGTAGGTAACCCTTTTCAATACTATGATACCAAACCCTCGGGCGGCCGCGCCTCTCGCCCGAGAGGCGCGGGGGCCGGCCGCCGGACAATCCATACTCAACGCGCCCTGACATCGCAGCCGTCGATATGCACTTTTATCGAAGACCAGAGCTGAGATGATGATTGTATAGCAAATAGCATGCCACGTGTCAGGAATTGAAAAGTGCAGCTCGCATGCTCATGCAGCATGGCACCTTTCTCAGCTTTTCTGAACTTAGCATGGTGCCAGGAAAAGTTGGGTGCCATACCGGTAGTGGCGGAGGGGAGATAAGAAAGTAATCTTTAGGGCTTGCTCCAGAATTAAGCAAAAAGGCCGCCATGGAGCCCCACGTTGCAGAAACAAGCGGTGCCTCTGAGCTTGAGCATGTACACGCCAATCACATCGGAAGGATGGTCGACCCGAGCGCGGTCGCAAAGCTGAAGGCAAATATTGAAAAGATAAACAGTGCGGCGAGCATTAGTCGCAAGTACGAGCAACTGCAAATGAACGGTGCTGATCATCTCAATGAGCACGTAGAAAAGCCAGTCAAAGAGGGCAGGGTAGCTTCTTACAATGACCTGACCAGAAGGCATGAGTGCGATTGTGAGGTGGAGCTTTCCGACAGAGAGATTCATCTCAGAGCATTGCGGCGCTTTGTGTTGGCTGCGATCAAGGGCTTTGTTATTGGGGCGGGGTTGAAAGGGGGCCTTGCCCTTTTTGGAGTCCTTGCAAAACTGCAAAAGCGGTTGAGACGCAGGTATGCATACTGACTGAGACTAGCGGTGTGATGCTCGAGAATGCTAGGAGCCAGATATCAAAAAAGTCACCAAGGTGCATTGGAGTCTAATGTCTTGCTTGGTGAGGGGTAGCTCGTCAAATGCAAAACGTTGAAAAGATTATTTTCAAAATCAGACAATAGTGTCCTAAATCCTGACACCTAGACATGCTGAGCTGCCAAATCTTGGGGCCTGCTGCAACTGATATGTTTTGATCCAGGTTGAGTTTGAGCCAGGTTGACATACATATGGAGAACCGGGCGTATGCACTTGAGTGAAGTCCAGCTAGGTCAAGCGCACGCGCTCCGCCCCATGCCCACCTAAGCCCCAAACTGACCCCACTTGTCTTGTGTCACTGGCCTATATCAACCTGGCTGTATCTCAACCAGAAATTGATAGTACTTATGTTTATGATGGTGGTGGAAATGAAGAAATGTGGCTCAGAAACTGAAGCTCCAACGTCGCCCTATTGCTGTTGGCCTGATTCCTGGCTTTTTTTGTGCTGGCGAATGAGACAATCATGTTAAGTCGAGGAACAATAAGCACTCTCCAGGAGTGCGGTTGTGGTCAGTAGTGGTTGAAAATCATTGCACATCAGGTGTTGGCCATTACAGAGGACCCCTGTATTTGGCCTGGAGTGATACTCAATCTCTAAACCCCCGTACCACCTTCAGCAAGTTGCTGAAAACAGGTCACCCATCCCCGTTGCCAGGGTGGTTGCCTGCAGTCATCATTTCACTCGTAGGACTACTCCGCTTCTTAGAGAGCCCCCGTGGCTGAAAGCTGGTTTGCAAGGAACCGATCCAAGTGCTAAAGCATTCTGCAAGTACAGGGGCGCCACTTGGGATATGGTTAGTTGAGAATCATGAAAGAGATTCCACAGTCGCAATTGGCAGACTATGTACCCTTAAGATGAGATGGCATCACAGACGGGTTGCAGGGTAGTCGAATTGTGCTGGTGTGTAAGTCTCCCTAATCGACAATTCAACAGTAAAGTGCATCTCCGACGGAGCTTGAGGAAGCAGCAGCTCTTCAATCATTACACAACCCAGAGGTTCTGCCACAGCCGCTCTGTAGATACTCGCACGGTCACAATCCGGTCAGGCCACGTTATACTGAGTATCATCCAACCATGCCTACAGGCAAAAACTAGAAAAGGGAGATTTGCGGACGGGCCTCGAACTCGGGCACGCCATCCAAAGCACCTGGCGGTACGGACTATTCTTGGGGTCGTTTGCCGGGGGCTTTACTGCGGTCGACGAAATAGTGGCGTACATATGGGGGCATAAAAGGTGAGCAGGCGGGGCTGGTTATTCAAGTACTGTCCTGTCCACTGTTATCGTGACAATAAGCTACGTTTTTGATGGTTTGTTTCTGTCCATACTTGCCTACGGATTCCTTAAACGGTATGTATGACAGTCGAGGGCATATTTAGAAAGCTGGATATATCCTTACATGCATTCGTCAGGCCGTTTCGAAAGAGATGTGTTCATCTCAAGCCTGCCAGCCCCCGCAAACGCCCTCACTACTTGTTCCACTATAACAGGACTGCCAGGTGGCGCGCGCTCATTGGCGGAGCGCTGGCGGGCCCCGCGCTGTTGCTCACGGGCAGCAAAGAGCGGCACACGAGCATGGCGATTTACATTCTGGTGCGGGCGGCGGTCCTGACAGTGCGGTGCGGCCTCAAGAGCCGGCGCTTCGGGTGGCTGTTCACACCGTTCGGCTGGCGGCATGGGGACGCGTTCCTCATGTGCCTGAGCTCTCTGCAGATTCTGTGAGTACGGACCGAAACGCTTAATTTTCTGCAGGGGAGTAATTGTTTTCTTCTTGGGTTCGGGCCCTATCCCGGTGACGCCTCGACTTTTGAGGCCGCCGGTTTCGTTTGGCTGGCAGTGTATGCGTGCGAGGAGAGCCGATTACTTTCGTCGCACAGAACCTCTCGTAGCTTCTTGAGATTTGAATCGGCTCTACTTTTCAGACATCTAATTGTTTTCGAACATCCTCTGGTTTGTCTGGCGAGCGCTATGGGCGTGGCTTACGATTGCGCGTTGCCCCACGTTCTCGTGGCTGCCTGGCTATCCTGCTTAGACTCTATGTTTAAGTCGTCTGATCGACGCGTGTGTTTGTTCTGATATTCCTGGTATCCAATGACATGAATTCTTGACATTCTCAGATTTCCTGGACTTTTAAACGACTATCTTTCGTTAACGTACCAGACCTTGTGTTCGACGCCGAAGGAAGAACATCGGCAGGTCGACGCAATGTCTGCTAGAAAGAAACCTCATCTATCGCTGTGGCTCCTTCTTCTTGAGAAATCTGGCGAAGCAAGTGAAATCTCTTCCAAAAAGTGAGGACTTCCGTCCTTCTTCCGGTCCTCAGGTCCGCCTGGATCCTGTACCCCTCCACGCTCCCCCGCTCCTACGTCAACTTCCTCAACAAGCACGGCGGCAAAGACGTCTCCATCATCGAAAACATCCGCGACCTAGCGCACCGCCGGACCCCCCTGCGAAACCTCGACGCAGTGCGGCGTGCATACGCCTCCGCGGGCCGGGGTGACGTCAGCCTTGACGCCAGCATGGCCGTCCCGTGCTCGATGTTGCACCCAGGGCAGGCGTGCGGGCCGCACGTTCTGCGGTTCCTGTGGGGCGCATACAGACGCGCGCTGCCGGTCTACATCCCGGTGTATTTGATCCCCGCACTAGTTGTGCACCGCCAGAACCTCTTCAGAAAGTAAGTACGAGCATGCGCTTCCGGTTTACGTCCCGGTGTCTTTCATTCCCGTATTAGTTGTCAATGGCCAGACCTCTTCGGAAAGGGCGTACAAAAGCGTGCTCCCAGACTACGTCCCGGTGTATTTGATCCCTGCGCTAGTTGTCCACCGCCAGAACCTTTTCAGAAAGTAAGTTCGCGCATGCGCTTCCGGTTTACTTTTATTTCCGCACTAGTTGTCAGTTGCCAGATATTTTCAAAAAGCACGTACGCGCTCTTCGGTCTGTGTCCCGTGGTATTTGTTCGCCGCGCTAAGTGTTCACCGCCAGAGCCTTTTTAGGAGGTCAATACGCGCATGCGTTTCCGGTTTACGTCCCCAATGGCTTTCAATCCCGCTGAAGTCATCAATTGCCAGACATTTTCAGAAAGTACGTCCGGGTGTCTCTCCCTGCGCTAGTTGTGCACAAACAGAACCTTCTTCGGTATTGAGTTGCGTTGTTCAGGAGATTAGGGATGCTTTATCTCTACTTCTGGAGCTTGGGACGTGATCCGTTCTTCAGAGTTTGGGCTCGTCGTTGAGAGCACTTTCTAAGTACTTGCAGGACAGCTCAAGTTCCTTTCTACATTCAGTCCTGCCTCGGCCGAGATGTATGGCCGTTCCTCTGCAGTCCCTCCAAATCGACGAAAGGCTTCAATTTTGGATAACGTGGATAACCAAATACCGACTGACACCTTAGTCAATTCCAATGTCAACTCATTCTTCACGCTAACGTCGAGGCCAAACTGGAACAGTGGATGTAACCTTCGCTTCACCCTGACATTGTCATGATTTTTTTCCTGCCCTTACCTTGACCCTGACCTTGACCTTGGACTTGGCCGTCATTTTGACCATGACCTTGGTTTTGACCCTGATTTGATCTTGACCTTGACCTTAACCTTGACCTTAACCGTTGCCCGTTTTGCCCGCAGGCCGTTGCCCATTTTGTCCAAGGTCGCCTTGGGAACCGCCCGCTCGAGCCTCTTCCTCTCGTGTTTCTGTGCGGGAGCCTGGTGAGTACTGCGACGCAGCACTAGGTCTATGCTGCGATTCTTGGATGATCCCTTAAATGCGTGCCCCGTCATTCCAGCGCTGCTTGATGCCGGAACAAAGCGATGAGTAGTTTGCAAAGATTCGCCTATTCTCACTTGCAATCGGATCGCGGTTAGCCAACAGAAAAGCAAAGTCACTATTGGAAGCGGCAACTATTTTTAGGGCCTGTGAAGAACAAACAGCTGACCTAATTTGTCAACTGGCTAATGCAGGTTGTTTACGTGTACAATTCATCAAGCCGCCGGCTGGTGTGGACCCAGTACTCTGAGAGCTGGCGCAGTAAGTTCCCAGTGGCTCGCGGCGTGTTCATTCCTTTTTCTGGTTTGATGCTCGGGAAGTTGATGTTCGGGAAGAGAGAATGATGTGCCCATTGCATCGGCGCAGATGTATGCAAAGTATTGATATAAGTGGTCGAACAGAAGTAGCATTTCAGAAAGCGCACCGAGAATGAGACCAACTTGAGTTGCCGTGAGGGGCGCAGAGGATTGTCGAAAACCAAGCCGAAACAAGGGTTAGCAGAAACGTCGGTTGAAGCACGTGATCCCTCTTTCTTTTCACGGTCCGCAGTACGGACTCGTTTGTTCGCTCGACCACTCTTTACTGATGTTAGTCAATTCCGCCAATTCCGCATTGTTCACTGGCCATTAGATGTTGAGATGAGCATGTTGGGTGATTCGTAAGCTGATTTGTAAGGTAACAGCGCTGACTTTTCTTAATTATGTCCGATAAGTCTCCCTATATCAATGTTGGCGAACGCGAGCCATGCCAAAACTTTCCCCCTTCGCAATTTCCGCATCCCCGTCAAAGATTCCCTATCTTGCAAGGCTTTCAAGCTATGCGCATTGATTGGCTGAGTGCTGCTGCCCCCATTGCTGGCTTTGCAAATCCCTCGTCTCAGACTTCCGCACCTCATTCATCATCAGTCCACCCGTTTTAGAATCCCTGGTCTCTTCTGCACGGTCGAGCTTGCCTTCTTGCGTCCCTTACCGCAAAAGAAAATCTCGTATCCTTCGCTGCGAACGAGTTTCTCTGCAGTTGTATCAAAAGAGCAGGCCACAGTGAAGCTAACCCAAAAAGCAAGCGGGAAGAGGTGGCTCAAAACGGAGACTAAGGTGTTTGCCGCCCCTTCACATCATCTCGCACCGCAATTTCCGGCGGTCGTGCTGAAGAAGGAGCCGCCAAATGGAGCTCAACTTTGAGCCCCCAAGTCGAACGCGATTGATCTTGGATCAAGTCCAAGCAAAGCAAACCCCGAGTGTGAATACGCTAACCCGACTATTTCCGTACTACAGTTTTTTGCGGTTTGGCGGTCCTCCTCGCGCAGAAGAGCCGGCGGATGGAGCTCGCGCTCTAATGCCCAACGTCAAACGCACTGACTTTCAACAGAACCCTGGTCAACAACAACCTTCTCTAAGCGCAGGTTTGATCGTGCTGCAGTTTCTGGCGGGTTGTGGGGTCTTCTTCAAGACAAGAAGAGCCGGCAGATGGAGTTAACTTTCACCCGGATTTCAAAATCAAAGATTTTCAAAACATTCTTAAGTCAAGGCTGTTTTGTCCTGATTTCCACTAACCCCACCCTTAACCATGCCGCAGTTTCCGGCGGGCCTGGCGGTGCTTCTCGAGAAAAGGAGCTGGCAGATAGAGCTCACTCTCACCCGTAAGTCTAAGGCATCCATTCTGAATTGACGTTCAGTTTGTGCTAACTTCACCACTAACCCCACCCTTACTCATGCTGCAGTTTCCGGCGGGCCTGGCGGTGCTTCTCGAGAAGAAGAGCCGGCGGATGGAGCTCGCGCTGTACTGCGTCGCGCGTGCGCTCGAGAGCTTCGCGCTGTGCCTCGCGGAGTGGGGCTGCGTCCCGCGCGCGCAGATCCCGAAGCGCCTCGACGTCATGCTCTTCAGCCTGGCCACAGCCGTCATCATGCACTGCTACGCGCAGGTAAACAAAAGACTGTGTTTTTGGGCGGGATATTTGTCAAAGTCTCGTGACCCAATCTCTTTTCTCTGGAGTCCCAAGAACAGATTGTCTTCTGAGAGCCTGGCTACAGCGGTCACCATACACTGCTATGCGCAGGTAAACATTGGATTGTTTGTTTTGGCAGGGATGTTTTGTCGAGCTCTTTCTGATTCAACTTCTCGTTTTTAAAGGAACTAGGATAGATTCTCTCTTCAGCCTGGCTACAGCCGTCATCATGCACTGCTATGCGCAGGTAGATTGGTTTACCCCTTCAGACCCGAAAAAAATTCCGTCAGCCTCTTTTGAGTCGAGTCCCGTCTCTAAGTAAAGAATCTGTGTTAGTAGGCCGGCCACAGCGAATCATTGCGTTCTACTATGAGTAGGTACATAAGGATTACCGTTCCATCTACCTCGAGGGATCCTTGCCAACGTGTTCTGGGTCAGTTTCCTGGTTTGGACGGGAGGTTATGTGCTTCAGCGTGGCCACCCGTCATCTTATCCAATTCTGAGTATGCGGCCTTTTATGAACCTTTTATGAGTCAATTCTCTGTCTATGGTGTTGTTTTAGAGCATGGCCACTTGGGTATGTTAATTATGCGACACGCAGGTAGGCTGTGAAGGTTGAGGTTGAGTGTACTTGATAATCTGAATGGCATTCTTTGTAGATCAGGCGGTCCTGCAACAAACTAACTTTTGTCCTGTTTATAGACGTACTCTCGTCACTCGTGGCCACCGTGTCAAAAGTGTCCCGACCCACCTGCTCGTCCTCTTTTCTCAGAATGCTCCCTTCTTGAGTATCGAAGGAGTTGCGGGACACTGCGGTTGCACTGCGCAAAGTAAAGTCGCCGGGATTCCCCACGACATTGGTCGGTTGATTTACATCGTTGCCGATCAGGCTAAGCTCCAAGATGTCGGGCCCCTGAAGCATCTGATTCGAGCGTGCCTGCTTTTCGTTTTTTGACGGGGGCTAAGCCTTGTCGTCCACCGGCAGGAACGTGACGTCTTCCGGTCCAAGTATCTGAACGTCCTCGACTTCGTGTTCGGGATCCCGGGCGTCATCAACTCGTGCGGTGCGTCCGACTGTCCGGTGGCCAAAGACGCCACGTCAACTGCGAAGGCGCCACCTAGCAGCTCGGCCGACCACTGAAACCTTGTATAAGATGACAGGCGATTATCATCGTCCAACTTAGGTCTCGGACGTCAAATTAGGTGACGTCGACTAGTTTTAAGTGCACGCGAAACGATTGGCCGAAGTACATAGAACATAGCGGAATGGAGCAGTGAGTTGGGTACAAGGATTCTCCATGATCATCCGCTGGGTTGTTATATGGCGACCTAGCTGCGCTGGCCGTGTTGCAATCTGTACAAACGTAGTAAAGTAGACATGGTACCAGTGCTGCGGTGTCCATGGTGGAGCATTCTCTGCCAATATGGGACCGTTTTATAGCGAGACAGCTTGTGTTTTTAGTAACAGAGATCATCGGTCACGCTTGAAAGGGAATTTGCAGAAGGGTCATGCAGTGCCATCCTCTGTCATTCATCTGGGACAGTATGGTCTGTGTGGCACTGACGAGGGTTGCCCATGAGGCTATTGAGATCCTCGATTAATTGGACCTTCAACTTTCCAAAGTTGAGCATGGCGACAGCTTGATTATCGCTGTCAATACTTTTACTGCAGTGATTGGCTAGAACGTCTAGAGTCCAAGTTTGGGAAGGGGCAGGGCCATATACGCCATGGGTGCTGCATGCAGATTTGATCGTCGGGACGCGGTTTAGGTAACAAAATATAATCTAGATCTGCGCCCACTATCGATCCGCGGAGTGAAGCTGCACATGTATGGCGGGCCCGGATCGTGACCCATGAAGTTTGTAGATAACAAACCCCTCGAAAACTATATATATGACAATCGGCCAACTGACAGGCTTAGTATACTTTAAAAATCGACCGATCGAGGCTGGACATAATTCATCCCTTCCGACAAGTCCGAGGCCCAACCTGCATATCGCCGTTAGCTTGCGAGGTTCGGCGATAATAATATCATGGTCAAGCGGATTTCTAGTGAGTCCAGATGGTGCAGCATAGGTGTATTGCCCGATGCTCTTTTCGGATGATGCTGATCTGCATCGCATCACCCCTCGAGTGGAAGTTTTGGGCATTGTCAGTCTTTCAATGGCATATAGCTCTGCCTTTTAGAAAGATCGGCAACGCCGTCTGCACTCCATTTTTGGATTTACTCGCAGCTCAGATTCTTGCATTACATGCATTTCGACTGTAAAGTGCACTCAACCTCCATAGGCGAGGCATATCTACTTCATCCAGGGCCGCCATGTGCACTTGACAGTAACTTCTGCTCTATTAGAAAAGCGGGTACTTTTATGAAAGGTACTGCAAATGGCAACAACGCCGGCATGCGGAGGCACATAATCAACGCTTAGGATGTGCTGAGAAGAGTTGCCAATATTTGATACGCGTGCTCAAGCAAAAGGGCGCAAAGCAGCTGGCTTGCATGTGCCTGCTGTTTGAGCGAAGTCCTGCTAAGACAAGGGGAAGCCACCGCCTGAAAATTCGGCATTCTGCAGAGGAGAAAGGAAAGGATGTTTGTCAGGTTGGCTGGCCGAAAGTCAAAAACAAATGCACAAGTGGAGATGTCGAGCTTGCTGCCGGAACTTTGTACCAAGAGCAAGTTCACAAAGAAGCTACTTCGAGGAGAGGCAGTGTTTAACGGGTCGCTGAAAGTTACTGAGGCCATCGTTATCAACGTTGACCATATTTTGTCAAGTTGAATGGGACTAGCTAGTAATTCGCAGAGCATTGTACCAGACTGCGTGCACAAGTCCCCAAACAAGTTTATATGTGCTGGCGAATAAGCAAAGAGTTTTGACCAGCGACCAACAAACGATGCAGAACGTCAGGGATCTGCAACGCAGATCCCAGGATGAACATGACCCAGTTTTTGATCACGAACAGATCGAATGAATCTCGTGACCCTATCTGCAATGTGGGTGTACTTGAGACTGAGAACGCTGAGACTTGAACGACTTCGTGAATGTAGAAACAGAATGTAGAAATAAAGACCGTTCGATTTGGCCGTAATGCTATACTTTGAACAGCGATCAGAAAGTCACATCAAAGATGTGGAAGACCAGCGAGACAAGCGAAACGTGTTAGCAAGTAGACCCTCACCGGAGGAACAGCGAGCGATGAAGTCCAATCCGATGCGCTCGTGGGCAACAGGCCCAACGAGTTCAACTGTTCCGCGCAGAAACGGACCAAAATTAGAGAGCATTCTTGACGAAGTTGCATTAGAAGTCAAAATTCGATTTTCGGTCTGTGCATCACCATCCACAGTGTCCGTCTTTCAAGCGTCGCACTCTTAGGAGAGTAGCAAGACGTTGATAGACTACGAAAGACGCGTCCATATGATGCATGCGACGAAACAAATCACTGAATTCCACCTAGTTGATGAAGATGCATCGGCTCTGTGCCCTTGCAAGGTCCAAAGGAGACTGCTCTATTCTTCTCGAACTATGAACGAAAGCGATTTGAGTCTCACCTTCCACAAAGCGATCCCCATTCCTAGGAGCTGCAGCCCACAGAACGCTAGCCGGGGGAGCAGAACGTCCGTTCTCGCGTCCTTGAACGGGAGAAAGACTGCGAAGGCGCCAACAGTGCCACGTCAGCACGAGCGGGTTCTAATATTCGTCAAGCTGCAATCATGCGAGCAATCTGTGTTGACCTTGAAAGAACGGAAACAGTGTTGAGAAGAACCTAACTGTAAGCAGACAACGCACATGCTTGGCCGCATACTAGGCCCGCATGGGCTGCCCGTGCCAGAAGAGAAGAAAGCAAGCCGGCTTGCAACCAAGGCATGGATCCCTCAGATCATGTCGAGAGGAACGACAGGATAAGCGGAAGATTATTCTGCGTGTTGCAGCGCACGTCCTGAAGGGGCTGCCAGATGCCAGTGGGTTGACAGTATCTTTCAGTAAGGAGGACTTCAACACTTTCAGAAGAGAGAATCTGAAGACTTGAAGAAAAGAGAGAAGCGAGGCCGGCGAAAAGAAGGTAAGCAGGAATAGAAGAACGAGGTCAAAGAAAGCAGCGCGCTCTCACTCTGCGCAGAGCCCCGGATGGCCTGCATGGGCTGCCAGATGCCGGTGAAGGTCATCATGATGCTGAAGATCTGCACCGTGCTGCCGCTCATCCACATCATGAACGCCATCATGCCAATCTGCTTCAGGGGCGACCCCGCAACCTCCCACGCTTTCTGCAGAGGCAGAGTGGCAATGTGAGCAGGGGCAGGATGATGTCAGCGGGGGCAGGACAGAGTTACAAAGGACCTTGATGGCGCCAGAAGCCAATGGTGGTAGAGTTACAAACTGGACTAAGATGCCGACATATTGCACATGGTCTCAAATCGGCCAGTGTGTTGGCAAGTGGTCTGACTGTGGATCAAAGTAGGATGATATCCATGTTGCCGGGTCGGGGATGGTCAGACCTGAAGCGCTATGCGGCAGGGACTTTAGTATGTTGTAGCGACAAACTTTGTCTTTCAAGTCTCCGAGGGGTGGTGGTCGGCATCCTCATTTAGAGAGCAGACCTTCTTGCCGGTCGTAACAATGCGCAAAGACCTCAGTTGCGAGTCCGGCAGAGCCACTCTGGAACTACTTAGTCACCTTCACACTTTGCTCACCACCTTACTATGGTGGGGGAACAAAAGGAAATTACAGAGCACGAATGGAGTTTTCAAAACCTGCTCTAGGCTCCTCCCAGTACCTCCTGGTTCTTCCGAGGGTACACCACTTGGAAAAAGCAATCTATATTTGAAAAAGGGCAGTAAACGCCACCACTGTGCTCAATCATCGAGTCTTTTTGGGCAGTGCAAGTGGTCACACAAAAGAGATGCAGGGCACTGCATAGCGGAACATTCGGCTTCAACTTATGCAAATGATACTCTCTCAATTCAGGTAGGATACCACCCTTCGAGCCATGTGAAACAAACCGCTGCAAATGCAACATGACAAAACTGCAACTCTCACCGTTAGTTTGAACATGTCGGGTGCATTCTTGTCCTTCTTTCCCACCGCACTTGAATCTTCCTGCACAATCAAAGTCGCACATTGGATCCCACATTAAAGCACTGAAAAGCTTGTGAGATTCTTGTGCAAGAAGCAGTTAGGCAGGAGAAAGCAGGGAGAAGCAACTCACAACACATGAGGCAGGACGTGTACAGAGAAACATCATTTGCTCATCATTCGCTGAACATGAAAGTTTTGAATAATTGCCTCGACAGGGGTTGGCCTACCGCTGGTTCAATAGCATGCTGCCTGTTGTATCCCAGGGGCTCTGGAGCTGATCTGCTACTGGACGGGCCTGTGTCACCAAAATCCAGAGCCCACTTTCGGGCCTTTGCTGCCATCTGCGGCGTCTTCACCTGGGTTCAGCTATCAAGAGACCGTCAGCAAAGGCGTTGGAACGTAAGCCTTAAGAATGAGCAGGAACTCAATCTGCCTTGAAGGAAGACGCAAAAATATTATCTACTCTAGCTTTTCTAGATGGAGAGAGATCCTTGGTGCGCTCAAACGCTGTCCAGTATTACTAATAG